TCAGACGTTTACCACTTCGGTGAAACCCACGAGCACGGGTATGGCGCTGACAAACATAGAAACATAAACGGGGCGAACCAGGATTCGAACCCACAATGATAGATTTCTGGCGTGCCCAAGGAATGCAACTCTGCACAGAGAATCGCGAAGTCGAAGACGACTGGGCCACCCGTGCCCCCGGATCCAAAAAGTAACTTACTTGAATCCATACACTAAACTGCCGGGCAAAAGTAAGTATACGCCAATGTCTGATAGTGGATAAAAAGGAAACAAAAGGTTATTCGATGGGGATGTATTTGAGTATCCTAGTTGTGTTTTGGACCTTAAGTTTGCATTGTTTCCTCAGCTGTTTTCAGCCTTGTACCGTTTTGATAACGTTTGTCATGTATTGGTCAAATCCAGTTTTTCAGTGTATACTTTCTTTTGCCTTGCACTTTACTCCAGACAATAATTATAACTGCCTCCTTTAATTCTCTAAGAACTTGTCCAGTAATTCGCCTGATCAAGAGTTAGCCTAGACTAACATTTAGTCTCTGAAATCTTATATTACACAATATCCTTCTTGACTCTAAAAATAAAAAAACATTCCCTATGCTGTGGAATAGAGCTAGCTTGAGCTGGCTAGACTTGCTTTTGTATGAATTTCTAGATATATATTTTTCCATAAATATTCCACGGTCATGGTGCAGGACTAGAGTTAGCCGTACTCGTTCAGTTTTATAAATATATATTACACAAAGGAATCTTCATTGTTGGCCTCAGAAGCACCTGTCCAACTGTTGCAATTAGTATTATTCAATTGCATACAGTGTCGTTTTTAGGTATGAGAATAACATTTTAATGGCAATAATACATTTGATAGTCACCCTACATGCAATGTCCGGTGATGCAAACAGCGAAATTATTTTACGTGCGTTTATCAGTAAGCGGATCTGTGACGCTTGTACAACAGCTGGCCCTGTGACGATTATGTTTGGAGATTGAACACTCAATCCAGTTTTAAATGGTCTTTCTAGAGGACATGTATTATCATGCCAACCAGCAACCTGTTACAGCACTACCCTGAACAAACACAGAGACTGTAATTGGATACTCTTCGTTATTGAATAGTACAAGCATCGTGACCACTTTTGTTTCGACATTTAATTTTAAGGGGATTGATCACAAAAAATAATGATGTGTTTGAAGAGGCGCAGCGGCACAATAGATTTTCTTTAATTTTAGGGGTTTGTTTATGTGTCGTCCTTTTGCCAAACTGTGGCAGCTCTGTAAGACTTCAAAGCTAACAGTTATCTTATTTCTATATTTTAGATGTCTCACCAGAACCACCACTTAAACAGGTTTGATTACGTGACGTCATAAGTCGAACTATATTTGACTTTTAGAGACATTTTCAATTTTATCATCATGATAAAAACATTCTATGTTGGCTACAGTGGTAAATGCATTAATGGTTCATTTAATGTTCCGAATAGTAGCGTCCCTTGACAGTGCTGCAGCCTTGTACTGTTACACACTGACAGCTACACCCTTTTTCAATCATAAAAAAAACTTTAATACATTTGATACGCGCCCTATCTGAAAATATTACAGGCGAAGTCTGGACGTTTCAGATGTTAATAGCCGTTCCATATCCGCTGTTTAAAGTCGAACTCCGGCATCAATTACATAATTATCCAAACGATCCTTTTCATATGGTTTTACAGCTTTGTTTGAATTCCCCTGATCGACCAGAGGGAAATGGCTTCTTCTTCTTTTATTTTATACTTTTAATCAACATCGTTTCTCCAAAAAGATATCGCTTGACCCTGAACTTCACATGCACGGCGCTTAAATTGCGCTCCACTACACATCGTAAACATTGCGCTATTGCTTGACACTGAACGTCACACACATAGGGCTTTTGCTTGACACTGTACTTCACAAACATCGCGCTATTGCTTGACACTGAACGTCACACACATAGGGCTTTTGCTTGACACTCTACTTCACAAACATCGCGCTATTGCTTGACACTGTACTTCGCACACATCGGGCTTTTGCTTGATACTGTACTTCACACACATCGGGCTATTGCTTGACACTCTACTTGTCACACATCGGGCTATTGCTTGACACTGAACGTCACACACATAGGGCTTTTGCTTGACACTCTACTTCACAAACATCGCGCTATTGCTTGACACTGTACTTCGCACACATCGGGCTTTTGCTTGATACTGTACTTGTCACACATCGGGCTATTGCTTGACACTGTACTTCGCACACATAGGGCTATTGCTTGACACTCTACTTGTCACACATCGGGCTATTGCCTGACCCTGTACTTCACACACATCGGGCTATTGCTTGACACTGTACTTCACACACATAGGGCTATTGCTTGACCCTGTACTTCACACACATAGGGCTATTGCTTGACACTGTACTTCACACACATCGGGCTATTGCTTGACCCTGTACTTCACACACATCGGGCTATTGCTTGACCCTGTACTTCACACACATAGGGCTATTGCTTGACCCTGTACTTCACACACATAGGGCTATTGCTTGACCCTGTACTTCACACACATAGGGCTATTGCTTGACACTCTACTTCGCACACATCGGGCTATTGCTTGACACTCTACTTCGCACACATAGGGCTATTGCCTGACCCTGTACTTCGCACACATCGGGCTATTGCTTGACCCTGTACTTCGCACACATAGGGCTATTGCTTGACCATGTACTTCACACACATAGGGCTATTGCTTGACACTCTACTTGTCACACATCGGGCTATTGCCTGACCCTGTACTTCACACACATCGGGCTATTGCTTGACACTGTACTTCACAAACATAGGGCTATTGCTTTACCCTGTACTTCACACACATCGGACTATTGCTTGACACTGTATTTCACACACATAGGGCTATTGCTTGACACTGTACTTCACACACATCGGGCTATTTCTTGACCCTGTACTTCACACACATAGGGCTATTGCTTTACCCTGTACTTCACACACATAGGGCTATTGCTTTACCCTGTACTTCACACACATCGGGCTATTTCTTGACCCTGTACTTCACGCACATAGGGCTATTGCTTTACCCTGTACTTCACACACATAGCGCTATTGCTTGGTACTCTACTTCGCACACCTAGAGCTATTGCTTAACACTGTATTTTACACACCTCTGACTATTGCTTGACACTGTGCTTCGTCTGGGACACGCGTCACTTCGGGCTTTCCTCTCACATTAAGCTGACACGCCGTGATATAACTTGAATACTGTTAAAAGCGGCGTTAAACCCAACTCACTCACTCACTCACTCACTCACTCACTCACTCACTCACTCGTACACATAGCGCATAGCGCTATACTTCGCACACATGTTGCGCCACCGTCTCGTCATACAGCGCAACAGAACAACAGCTAAACACACCAATTATCGCCGACCAACGAAACTCCGATGCAGCACATCTGGTTCACCCGAGGCCTGTGTGGAGCTTGACGCAGCGGGGCTGTGTGCAGACGTTGTTTGTTTGGATTGACTCTGAGTGCCTTGCGTACTTTTTAAACCTCTGGTATTTAGAGGCAACTATTAATAACAGAAGTTAACATTGGTTTTACACGACATCTGTGATTTCTAACATAAGGTGTCTCTAAGAATTACCCTCAACCCAATTTGATTCGGTAGTGTTTTAGACTTTTTTTTGCAATAGAAACTGCCATACATCGATTTAATATGTTCCAAGATTGCATACCGAGACACTGTGTCCGGTGATTGAGTCGAGCCGTTGGAATGATTCATGGCGTGTTGATGTTGAATTAATAGGTAAACTTATATTAGAGAAATGTCTTTGCCATGCCAAGAATCTTCCAATCATTTACCATAATTCTTTTACAATATTCTCGACCCAACGAGCCAAACATGCCTATACAGGAAGCGGCATAAAAGTAGTGCCGATACCAAATGACTCACCGCCTAGTGGACCGCCTCCGTGGTCTAGTGGTAGAGCGTCCGCCCGGAGAGCGGAAGGTCCGGGGTTCGATCCCCTGCCGCGTCTACCAAAAGACGTTAAAAATGGTACTTGTTGTTACCCTCTCTGGCGCTCAGGATTAAGGGGCTAAACCAAGGACTGGTCGGCTCGGAGTCAGTATACTGTGTCTGATTGGGGTATCCATGTTAAACTGCGGCTTGGTATCTCAGTGAGCTAGCACTATAAATCGGCATCAGTCCGGACTAGTACAAGCAACCACACAAACACATACACGTACATGCACGTCGCTACATAAGTGCAATTACCTTGGACGCGACGTTAAACCCAATTTCACCTCACCTCACCTCACCTCACATCACCTCACCGCCCAGTAAATACATAAACAGATTACAACGCTTGTGACATCGTGAAGTGTCGCGTGTTACCCTGCGTGTATATCCTCCACAGTATCGCAGAACACCTGGTGTCATCACTGATTTCCAGTGATCCATTCACCTAGTTTTCCCAACTAGTTTCCCTCACGCCCAATTGAATCTATTTCGGCCGATAATGGAAACTGATTATTCCCTAGGGTTGATGTTTTAAATGTTGTATTAAGTATAGTTAACAATAATTAACCATAATGTCAGCTCTGTTGTTTAATTAATTGATTGAATTTGGTTCCAAATTGACGCTGTCGTCCTCGTAATGTTAGTAGACTGTCACTTGCTTCAAAATATACCTCTATTTATGCAACTTTAGCACTCGTGGAAATGAAGTGTCATGTCGTCTACGCTATCAACCACGTTGTCAAATACCTCGCCAACGCAGTCCCATGTTCCGTAACAGATATATCAATTGTCGTCTGCTCCTTCCTCCATTGTCGTCTGCTCCACGCTGCATCATCCACAACGCTTCCCCATCACGCGACGTATAAAAGTACGTGTATGGGATATTCATGAATTTCCAGTGTGTTGAAGCTAAAGAGATATCTCCTGCTAAGCAGCTGTTTTCTCCCTTGCAGCTTTGAATATTCTGCATGCAACGCTCCAGACGTGCGTCACCATCTATCTCCGTCGAAGTTGTAACGACGGGCAGGTTGCGATCAGTTCTCACTGCTGATATACCAGCCGCTGCAGGCAGACTCGATCGCCGAACTGAGAGCTTCAGAAAGTTCTGTCGGCATGTGCGAGGGAGCTGAACTCGACATATTTCACCTGACCGTATCAAAGTGCAAGTGATCGTGGACACCCTGGAGCCTGAAGATATACAGACTTTACTATGACAGTAAAACAACGTTGAGACCACTGAGGTATGTGACTTATTTGGTGATTTTTGTAAAATGCTGCAAGGGTTTGATTCATGTTAGTCTTATAACTCTATACTTGAACACTTCCATAAATGAATATATAAATATGTAAATATACACATCTCTCCCTCACTGTCTCTCCCTTTCTCTCTCATCTATTTCTCAAAGGTAAATATCCAATTCGTTGTGGAGAGGCCATTTTAAATTGTTTTAATTTGTAGATTTGTTTAATTTGTTTGAACTAAATACTATCCAGATACGTTATTTTAATACTTAGAGGCCAAATACAATTTCAGAGTCGGGCACAATATTTATGTTATCATTATATCGACATAACGCTACATTATAAATTATGAATTATCATATAGGTATTATGTCGAATTGGATGTCGTGTTAAAACATAGGTAATGTTTGATATGCGACAGTTTGTGTATATTTGTGGGGGACAGGACTGTGCGGCTGGGGTATGTGGGTGTTTCTGTTTGTTGTTTTGTTGTTGTTTTGTTGTTGTTTGTTTGTTTTTGTTTTTTTGTTTTTTGTTTGTTTGTTTGTTGTTGTTGTGTGTGTGTTTTTTGGGGGAGTATGTAAATACGAGGCTGTGCTTGATATGTTAACGAAAAAACTTTCGAGTTTACTTGTTGCCTGCCGTTTAATAACTTTTGCAATGTGTTGAATGGTTGGGTTTAGTTTATCTGATAATGTGTGTTGAATGTTTGGATAAGACTCACAGTGCGTTCCGAATTAGTTTTCCTGTAAAAACATTTTGGATGGAGTTCTCTTGTTGCAGTGCGTTCCGCATTAGTTTTCCTCATGTTTACAGTTTGGATGGAGTTTACTTGTTGCAGTGCGTTCCGCAGTAGTTTTCCTTATGTTTACAGTTTGGATGGAGTTTACATGTTACTGTGCGTTCCGCATTAGTTTTCCACATGGTAACAGTTTGGATGGAGTTTACATGTTACAGTGCGTTCCGCATTAGTTTTCCGCATGGTAACAGTTTGGATGGAGTTTACGTGTTACAGTGCGTTCCGCATTAGTTTTCCTCATGTTTACAGTTTGGATGGAGTTTACTTGTTGCAGTGCGTTCCGCAGTAGTTTTCCTTATGTTTACAGTTTGGATGGAGTTTACTTGTTACAGTGCGTTCCGCATTAGTTTTCCACATGGTAACAGTTTGGATGGAGTTTACATGTTACAGTGCGTTCCGCATTAGTTTTCCACATGGTAACAGTTTGGATGGAGTTTACGTGTTACAGTGCGTTCCGCATTAGTTTTCCTCATGTTAACAGTTTGGATGGAGTTTACTTGTTGCAGTGCGTTCCGCATTAGTTTTCTTCATGTTAACAGTTTGGATGGAGTTTACTTGTTGCAGTGCGTTCCGCATTAGTTTTCTTCATGTTAACAGTTTGGATGGAGTTTACGTGTTACAGTGCGTTCCGCATTAGTTTTCCTCATGTTAACAGTTTGGATGGAGTTTACTTGTTGCAGTGCGTTCCGCATTAGTTTTCTTCATGTTAACAGTTTGGATGGAGTTTACTTGTTGCAGTGCGTTCCGCATTAGTTTTCTTCATGTTAACAGTTTGGATGGAGTTTACGTGTTACAGTGCGTTCCGCATTAGTTTTCCTCATGTTAACAGTTTGGATGGAGTTTACTTGTTGCAGTGCGTTCCGCATTAGTTTTCTTCATGTTAACAGTTTGGATGGAGTTTACTTGTTGCAGTGCGTTCCGCATTAGTTTTCTTCATGTTAACAGTTTGGATGGAGTTTACGTGTTACAGTGCGTTCCGCATTAGTTTTCCTCATGTTAACAGTTTGGATGGAGTTTACTTGTTGCAGTGCGTTCCGCATTAGTTTTCTTCATGTTAACAGTTTGGATGGAGTTTACTTGTTGCAGTGCGTTCCGCATTAGTTTTCTTCATGTTAACAGTTTGGATGGAGTTTACTTGTTACAGTGCGCATTGTAGTTATGTTGTAGTTATACATTTAGCCAGGCCACACATTGTAAACACCATATCCTCATCTGTCGGCGTACACGACACGCACGTGATACTGGGGACCCATTACGGAACTATGGGTAGATTTATAGACGGAGAACGCCCAGGGCGTGACCCTCCTGTCAACCCAACCCAACCTTGGGGCATACTTGTGGTATGTGAGTGAAATAAGGCCTCTAAGAGCCACAAGGTCTTACTCTACGCTAGGGAAAAGTATCTAATCCTTTGTCAAATGTCTACTAACGATCTTATATGAGACAATAAAATCCAAAATTAAAATCATGAATATGTAAAGTGTTTTGTTGATCGTTCTGTGGGTGTATTAAAAGGGCGTCTGTGGTTTAATGTGTCAATAGCATTCAGTCTGTCTGGTCATCGTGAAAAGTTTAAGTTCATAAAGCACTTGATATTGGACAAAGGGGACTAATAAGGCATGCTGTATTGCCCTAAAACCCGTGAAGCGGGTACCAATATTATATTACCGTATTCGGTGTAATAAGCGCCCAGGGCGCTCTCAAAATTAGAAATAGGGGGCTCTTATTATAGTATTATTTTGTTGGAAAAAAGAGAGTTGAAAGATAAATTTCGTGGTTTGTGCTGACACACTGAAATGTTTATATGCGACAGATACATTTTTCCAAAATTTAATTGCCCATAATTAAGAATGCATATAAAACACGAGTGCGTATTATACGCGAATAAATAAGTCCTGTGTACATCGATCAATCGGAAGGAGTGCTAATTTGGATTGTTCACTAGCCACTATATTAGCAAATATCGTCGTGGGCGCTTATTAGAGCGGGGCGCTTATTACGTCGATTACGGTATTGTATATTTATTTGAAATGACTGAGGAAGTGAAACAGCTCCTTGTGCGACGGGTACCACAGGTAGGGCAGGATACGTTCACCTTTTCGCGAACACCTGGTATGATAATATTATGTATTTGATGGAGATTCAAAACCATAATTATGATATTGTCGGAATCGTACGGTCGACTCGAGAGATTTGTTATGATTATGGAATTAAGTTAATCGCTTTTATTTAAGAAAGATATCATATATAAAATAAAATATGGATATAAACAACTCGAGGTAATTGCATATCAGTATTTGGTTTTATGAACAGATCGTCCTATCGGTAGTTCTCTATATAACTAACTACCTGTAAGCAATTCACACGGGCTATGGGTTACAGAGAAATAAACGTTCTCCATAGACTTCCATAATAATGTCATATTTTAATATTAGGTGAGGTGAGGTGAAATGGGGTTTAACGTCGCGCCCTAGATTATTGCACTTATATAGCGACGTGCATGCATGTGTGTGTTTGTGTGGCTGCTTGTACTAGTCCGGACTGATGCCGATTTATAGTGCTAGCACACTGAGATACCATGCCGCTGTTTAACATAAATACCCCACTCAGACACAGTATACTGACTCCGAGCCGACCATTCCTTGTTTTAGCCCCTTAATGCCGAGCGCCAGGCAGTGTAACAACAAGTACCATCTTTTAACGTCTTTTTTACTTGCTCCGTTAGCCAGACTGTGTGTGTTATTGCAGCTTTGGGAACGGACTGGGCATACATGACATGTAGGGGCTATTGAATGCCTAATATTAAACCGCCTCCGTGGTCTAGTGGTAGAGCGTCCGCCCGGAGAGCGGAAGGTCCGGGGTTCGATCCCCGGCCCCTCATACCAAAAAGACGTTAAAAGATGGTACTTGTTGTTACCCTGTCTGGCGCTTGGCATTAAGGGGCTAAAACAAGGAATGGTCGGCTCGGAGTCAGTATACTGTGTCTGAGTGGATTATTCATGTTAAACTGTGGAATGGTATCTCAGAGTGCTAGCACTATAAATTTGCATTAGTCCGGCCTAGTACAAGCAGCCACACACATACACGTGCATGCACGTCGCTATATAAGTGCAATAATCTTGGATGCGACGTTAAAACCCATTTCACCTCACCAAGTACAGAAAGCTAAACACACCAACCCATGTTCCGCACCAGACCTCACCTACTGGAAAATATCTGTGGTCTCATTTAGCATTTAGCAAAAAAGACATCACTCAATACTGAACAATCATGGTCAGTTTTAATTACTAGAGGGATGTACATTAAAATAAACCATAGAAAATCTTAGACAAAATCATCCAATCACAGCTGCAAGATTTCTCAATCTACTATCGTGCGGCTGCCAGAACATCTCATTCTGATTTAGTGTGGTAGTACCTATAACGTTATAGTTTGCGTCAACAAGCAGAGGCAAAAAATTACATGATCCGCTTTTCATCTTTGAATTGGCTTCTTTACAGTTGATATTTGGCCCCGACGTTTTATACTCATCTGATCCGCAGGGGAGATTGGAGGATGTCTGCAAAAGCCGGATCATAATAAGGCCAAATTTGGAGATTCATAATCGATATCATTCGTCACATACGACTATAGAGTATGGATCAATACCAAGCACGCGCAGTGCGGGTATCTAAGTGGGTTTTGTTTTCAGTAGCCATCTCAAGTGATTCTGTGTGTGATTCACGTCTTCCCGTGCGTGATATTTGTGACAAAATAACCGTTTAATTCATTACAACGCAAACCTACGCAAATAAATCTACATGCAAGGGTTGCTTCAGACCAGCGTCTACTCCCAGCATTAAGTCAACGTAGGTTGGATCGAGATTGATGCCCAGCGCCGTGTGTGATTCCTGTCTGGGCATTTTTAGCGCATCTACACAATAGAGCCTTGTATAATTAAATAATTACTTTGTTAAAACAGCAAACTTTGACGGCATGTTTATTTGCTCTGACGCACAAGAAGGTCAATCGCAATTTGTAGTGATCTGTGACATGTGGTCTGTGACATTTAATTTCGCGAGGAGCAAAGACAATTGTCGCAGCAGTCCATGCGCTCTTACTGCAGAGAAAACTGCGTTACTGGTGGGCGTGGATGTTACACTGCTCTTGGTTAGTCTGTTTTACAGACCCTGATACAAATATATAGGAAATACAGCCCAT